ACTGCAAAGTATCTTTGATTAGACTGGATTTAAATTTTACTGTGATTTTGACTCCCGGACATATACAGTTTTTCGAAATGAGCATCACACAGCTCAAATTTGAAAAAGCACTGAATAAGCAAGACCTTTAGGGCACGAGTACACCCTGATGTCAATATCTAGTTAAAATTCACTGAATGATTCGTGTCGGGAAATATTTTATCGCAATTTTGTTAGTTTATTCGAAATGTTGGACCACAAGGGACCGTCGCGGCAGTGAAAAACGTACCTCTTAGTTGTTCGATTCTCTTCTTTATTCTAGAACAGTTGTTTAATGCTCTGGACGGACTAACTGGACTGACTAACTAACTACTACTCGTTACATTGCTTGATATATGTTTTACAGAATTAGACAAAACCCAAATAATAATTTGATATTAACTAAAACAATAACCAATTATGGCATAACTCCATACTGAGGGGAATTCCCCGTTTATGACGACCTTGGCTTATGCTACAAATATCGACCATGTGAACATTATTTAAACTGCGTCATAAACTTAAACAAAAGTAATTACTTATAAAAATACAATAATAATGATATTTAAACATTTCGCAATCATTCTATAAATTCAATATTGATCCTAACCCTACAACATAAAATTTGCTGGACATTAAAATTACTGGTAATCTAAAACTACAAGTACATGACTTGGCATATTTCAATTTCTAGACCAACTATAAAACTGCTGACGAATCACTTAAAACTGAAATCTGCTATTAACTTATTAACATTGTATTAACTAAATGTCAGGGAGACGTAGTCTAACAGAAAATAAACATTGAAAAATATTGCCGCCACTTTGGATGAATGAGCAGGAACCAATTAGCGATCTTCATTCATGATGGCGACCATGACTATCTCGAACAAAAAAGAAACTTCCAGATTTTTTCAGAGAAGTGAGATTTCTAACCTGCGTCACATCTGGACAAACCACGTTAGATGTGACGCAGGGTATGGAATGTCCCACCAGAAAAAAAGACTTGCATGCCGTCGAAAAGAGATGAATGTTGAAGCTTTGCCAGGAAGACCAGGCAGAGCAAGGTGCTAGTGAAGATAATGACTACTTAGCTTGTATTGATGGCTGACAAGGTGATAAATGACATAACAAAATCTTGTTTTCCTGAAGGATTTGCGTCAGTTTAGAAGTGTTAATATCACAATTAGATAACAATCAGCGAGAATCAGGAAATACCTCGTGATTTTGTCCAGTAAATGTCTGGAAAGCAGATCGTTATATAATCTATTTTCTCTTGTGATCCGATAAGACCAGGNTAATAATGGTCGCTCTTGTCTGTTGCCCTTGTTACATCGCACAAAACGGGAATCGACATGTTTTCGTCCGTTTTTAAAAGGTTTGTCCGTCATATGTCTAAGCATCCTCGAGCGTATAGTTAGAGTTATAGATATAGTTTATTAAACAAAGATAAATCGCAGCCAAAGAGCTGAATTGGGTTATTTACTAAGTCATGTAAATAAAAACTATTTAAAAAACTGAGTCCAACATACAGTTCATATATTGATATGGAAGCAATTAGATCGTCAGAGACGGCACATGGCCAGGATGAACGAGTTCCTATACAGTCTCTTAACGCGAGCAACTAAGTCAACTCGCTTTCCTTGCACTTTTTTACCCCCACATCTCAACTAGCGTTATAATTGCTTGACAGCATAGTTGTCTGGATTATTTTGAACCAGGAAAATCGTCATTTTCTGTCAAAACTTCTGCATTTTGGAGCGAGTTTAATGAGTCGCCTGTAAATTCCACATACATTTCTCTTGTATTGACCTCAACGTTTGTCCGAATGCAAGCGGGGGGTCGAAATCTGTGACGTAATATCCGCGCAGCGCTATTAGACTTAAAATGTTAATATTTTATGCTTTTAATTTACCTCTTTTTTTATTTGCTTATGTACACGGCCTTATCAAATCACCTTTTACACCATATCGACAGCTTTTTTTCTACAGGGTCTGCAATAAATAAAATGTCTGCGTGCGTGAGCCTTGTGTAACAAATTACTTCAGAGAAAAACGACTTCTTTCATCATCAGCAAGATGTCTCCTCCAAAGCATTTAAGTAATCGGTATCCAGTTCGTCAAGAGCATAACATTCTTCTTCATTTTTACTTGTATCTTTCAAAACTCCGCATTGTTTTCTCTGAATGTTGTTAGAATTGCATGGGTCTCCCTTTGCRTTGTAGTTCACGTCAAAAGTGCCACGATTTTGGTCGATATTRCTTGATTTAATTTGTRCATTTTCTACTACTTCGATACCCTCGCTTTTATTTTTTAATTCACTCGTAGTAGTTTCAGGAGAAAAATGAAYCKTTTTGATACCAACAGGATGTGAAGTSCCATTYACATTACTRTGTAGAAGTACAGTTTGAGACTCGTTCATGGTGAAACTGTTACACTGCTCTCTCTTTGGCTGTGACACGTTGTAATACATAGATTGTCTATGATGAGGTTTAGAAATACGTCTGCCAGCTTTACGGTAACCTTTACGGAAATCTTTACTATACAGTCCGTAGATGAATGGATTTAGAACGCTGTTGGAGTAAGTAAAAATCCTGCAAATGATCGACGTCATCGAAAAATATTCATTGACAGCTAAAGTCCCGTAATCTACCCATAACCAAAAGACTTGGTTTGGAAACATACTTATGGCAAAGACAATTACYACCATGATAAACATCTTGGTTACTTTGAAATGTTGTTCTTTACGCATTTCTTTTAACGCGTTTATCCTTTTCTCCGTTTCTTGGTTATCGCCACTAGTTGAAGRCATTTCTCCTCCTAGCATTCCTGGCAATGATTTGCTGTTATTGAACAGACTTCTTAAAGTGATAGAATATARTGCAACCATTATAAACAAAGGCAGGAAATACTGAAGAAGACATAGCAACATAGTATAAGCTTGTCGGAACTTCTTCTGTGGATTTGGCCAYTTTTCTGTACAGTCAAAAGTCTCCCCAACTTTGACTTCTCGTAGAACGTAAACATACGGAACAACCACCAAAATGGAAAGAACATATAATGAACAAATCATTAAGCAAAACTTGCCAGCCCATCGCACTTTAAATGGGAATACAAGAGCACGGTATCGATCTATRCATATCGCGGTTAGGATGAGAGCTGAAGACGTTGCTGAAAACGTCTGTGCAGGCCACAGCAATTTACACATGGTCGAMCCAAACGGCCAATGGTAATGTAAYTCCTCATAGGCCAAGTCAAATGGAAGGCTTATAGTTGGAGTTATAAGATCGCATATAGCAAGGTTGAAAACCAGTATATGTGACGAACTCCGCATTCTCCTGTCGTGRCTAATGACAGAAATTACTAGACCATTTCCAATGATAGTTAGTAGGAATATAATCACGTAAATCGAGATCTTGACAATACGAAACTCTAGCGAGAGATCTGGAGAAGGAACGGACGCATTCACAATCACACTCGTGTTGTTCATGTCTGACAGTTTGGACGACAAACCTGMCTTATTGTAGGATCCTATGACATCATCTATCAATAATCATCTMGTCATGAACGTTATCTTTGAAGTTATCTTTATGTGCGGTTTAAATCAWTATRTGGTAATTGATGGTGACCAGTMAATTTGAGGTTTGGYTTTCTTTAAAAATWTCTTTTCTTACTTGTGACGTTTAAGGCGCCCCAACTTCGCAGCCAATTGTACAAGTAATTAACTCCAGAAAAACTSWATTTCAATAACCACTTGAATGAAACAATAATCTTTTATGACAAAASGCCTTTTTCACTGACATTTAGATTTGTTGAAACCTGCCCTTACACTGACCTCTGACTGTGGTTTATCTAATTGAAAATACCAATGGTTTGGGATGCTGAAAGAGAAAACAAGAGATTTAGTAATKCGCTTTTTCGGTGTACACTCTTTCGCAAAAYTAACGGCGGGGATTTCCAGGAAACAAGATGAGAAATACAGAACCGAAGGCGTGCGCAAAGTTTGATAATATCTCAGATATCTTCAAAGAATACATCATAAAAGGTTTAGAGCTGATCCTTGGTCTTAAGGATGTATTCAATGTTATTTCAAAGAAAGAAATGCAGGATTTTTTTTGTTAAAGTGATTGGCAAGAAAACGAACAGGACACTCAATACGTCAATATCCATCATAAATGGAACTTTCTCTCACATGGGAATGTTTTTTTTCTTCCAAAATCAGTCCGGATATGAAAATTTCTAGAAATTTAATATCGTTTGTTTCTTTACTTTTAAGTAAAGAAAAAAATTGTACTTTCACTATTAAAATAAGTATGATTTGATTAATACCCGAGTAGTGAGTTGTCGACATCAGAAATACCCGTTTACTTAATACAATGAGCTAAATAGAATTAAAATACTTCGGCATATTGTAGACGGGTAATTGCATCTACAGCAACACTGATTCTTCTCACTCGAAGGCAACTGCAACGCGGAGAGAGACTGTAGCATGGAAAAACTGATTTCTCTTCCAACAGTGAAAATTGTACTGCGCTTTCAGATTCACGCTTTATGAGTCATTAAAACGCTCTTTTTTACTAATATGTCTTACAAAAAGTATAAAAACATTTTGAGCAACCGGTCTATCACCGCTGTGGTCCTGGTTCGATTCCCGGACTATATGTGATTTGAGTTTGTAGGCTGGTTCTCTTCCTTGCTCCGAGGATTTTTCTCCAGGTCCGCTGGTTTTCCTCCCTCCGTCAAAAACTAGCTGTGAGGAGTGTCGTGCATGTAGTAAAATAATGAATGTGAGTATGATATATAGAGGGCCACAAGTTTACTAGTCTAGAGACTATTACGTGCTACCCTCTCAAAATAAAGAAAAGAGTTTACGCAGTTAATGAAGATGACTCTAAGAATATAACGGTGATTGGTTGAAACTTACAAAACACTGGTTCGTACAACATGCAGGATGAAAAACGTAAGCAAATAGTATTACGTGTTCCTGGCTCAAGTCCCTGACTCGTATGACTTGGCAGTAAAAATCATATTGTTGCCAAACTTTTCAGAACACTGTCACAAAAAGCTGTTCTCTTGTCTGGGACGTTCCGGCAGCTTGTTGGTGCCGTTGCCAACTATTACAATACATCGATTGACATGAAAGAAGACGTTTGCTAGCATTTACATCTCTTATCATGCAGATTTGAAATTAAATAATCGAACTAACYCCAACGTTTTTCAAGAGGTATTGAAGAGGATTTAACTTTCTTTTATCAATTCAAAAAATTACCGAAAGCGACTTGGATCTCTAWTTTCATCATTTATTATCGACCTGAGTACTGCTGAGAGATCTGAGAAACGATCAGCTGCGTTGGAGTGTGTTGTTGTGGCTTGTCATAGTATTTTCATTAGTAGGAATGATATCCCTATAAATTGTTAGCAAAAATTCACGGGGCGCGCAGCCAAGGTAAAACTTCAGGACTTTTTTGAAATATCACGCGAAAGTTCAGCTTAGAAAATAAACAGACAGTAACAACAATGAAGTGTTTTTCAATTACAACGTAGACTATTATTCTATATTCCCGCGCCGCGTTGAGGCTATAGAGATTTGGAAATAACTATTTTAAAGACTAATGCCATTCCTGTAAGCTAATCGAACTATACTGATCAAAATATATTAAAATGACAGGAAACGTGAAGACCTGTGAGACCATAAAAATACTGAATACAATTTATTGATGTATTTTTGAAAAACTCTTTTAAGTAAGTTGTATTCGGAGTCAGTTTAGAGGCCCTAATGAAAAATACTTGATGTTATAATAAACGTAGCGCACTTATTCAACGTTAAACATACTGTTCACTAAGCAGTATTAAATAGCTTACTTTATTTTGGTTATTATCAATTATATCACGTAAAAAAAAAGAAGACAAAAAAACCGATATCGAAATTAAGGTGTCTTTACTTTGAGAGGTAATTGGCATGCGACTTTTGAAGRTCTCGATTTGTTGGTAAAATTATAACAACAAGATCACTTTTTTTCTAAAAACTCTTAAAACGACTAGAACGTTCATGATAAAAATCCTTTGTTTTGATAAGATAGCGGTTTATCTACTTATTTTAATGTGATTATTTAGAGCTGATAGCACTGTATTATCAACAAAAGGGAATACACAGGGTATGTTAGTCATGCAAGATTTTATACTTACAGACGGCAGTGCACAGGCTTAAAAAAMCAAACTAATAACAACAACTTCGCACTGGTCTTCTGATGTCCGTTTGGTACCTGTACTCACACAGTTCAGACGTAATATTGGTGATTTCAACGCCCTTTCTTTACCCCGAGGCCAACTTCTGTTGAAAGCCTCCACTCGCTCAAATTAATTTTCACTTCCGTCTCGTTGAAAATTGTATGATAATAAAGTGTCAAGTTTCAGTCTCTTTTCGTCTATTTCTCGACGTCTTTTTCAATCTTTCAGCTACTTAAAGACAGCGAAAAGAAAGAGTTTTTGTCAAGATAAAGTGGGCAGTAGTCAAAGTGAGCCCAAGTGTCGCGATAAAGAAGGACTTGCTATTAAAATGCATCAGCGATAAAATATTGCGTTTTGGTTYCTATTTGATTATCTTTCATCGTGGTTCTATAGCGACGCTATCACAGCTGAAAAACATGTTTCAATTTTAGCATTAAAAAAAACAATATGTCGTGTCAGTGCCTCTTACCTCTGAACGAGCACATAGGAAAAAGACAAATCTTAATCCAGTTAGAATTATTATTTTGTCACTAATCGACGTAAGTAATATTTCTTCTCCAGGTTTTTTGACGTCGAAAAACGCATACTTTACATTTCATATTGACTCGAACGTGTTCCGCGCTAGCCGATGTTGTGATATCGAGAACCAGCTTATGTCATAATCTCCCGATCTGATTGTACAATAAATTGAATATACATTGACACATTTAAAAGATAGAACATAGAAACTGGGGCCGAAGAGATGTATGGGATACTATCGCAACCTAAAATGGTGCATTGTGGTCTATCTTCAGTACAAAGAACACCATATTTGGGCAAATCCAGACCATGATGCTATGCGGTAAAAAACAGTCTGTTACCTCGACATAAATTTAAAATATTAAAGCTTTATTGATTTTAAATACAGGCGATCTTGCCAATATTCCGATGTTCCACTTGTCGCATGTCTTGATACTTATCAATAAATTAATATTTATTTATTATATATCATTACTTTTTTATTTATGTTTATAGTTACSTCCTTTTGTAGTTAAAACTGARTTACAGGAGTARSWAATATTTACAAGAACTTCATAGCAAAAAAATTATTAAATYTATCTGTTCTACCTTTTCTTACACGGTACGTAACAGCTGATATCCAGTTTCTGCACGTGAAACAWTCTCTAATCCATATRGAATTTTTTTAAATGCCTTGTCATTTTTCATTTAAAACAACTGACATTCTAGACCATTTTACGCGAATGTTAAGTGAATATTTTCATAAGTCCCGTGGCCATTGAAATATTGGAAATGTTAGTTAGACAACCTTGTCAATATCGGTTGTATTTGATGTATCACGGTTTGAATATGACAGAAAGTCAGCATGCTGTAGATACATGCTGTTATTATGGTAGGTGTCTATGGTATTATTACAATCTTACACAGTATGGCGCCCTACTAAGCTCACCTTAAACACGATAATAACTCAGAAAAACAAAATGGAATCCCGTATTCTATGGAAAAGAAAAAATCAACCTATCCCTATATTTAGTTATTAAAATCAGTTTAAAAAATAATAACTCCGAAAAACAAAATGGAATCCCGTATTCTATTGCAAAATGGAATCCCGTATTCTATTGAAAAGAAAAAAAAATCAACTCTGCCGTTAGCTATTTACATCAGTTTATGAAGGATTTCAGCGCACCCATAAGCTTCTATGTGCGTTCATAATACATTCAAGATAATACGCCAATGCTTTGTCCTTGTTTTTCAGCGAATGAGAAAACACCATCCAACATGAGTAATATATCGCTTGAGAGTGAGTCGTGAAAATAATTAGGTAATATTATATGATAAATATTAATAAGAGAAATGGAAAAAAAAAACAACCATCATTAACTGCGCGTTATAATTAAAAAAATATAACACACACCAAGGCTAATAAAACTACAATATAACACACAGCAAGGCTAATAAAAAAAATACTATAACACACACCAAAGCTAATAGAAACAATATGACACACACCAAGGCTAATAAAAGCAATATAACACACACCAAGGCTAATAAAAGCAATATAGCACACACCAAGGCTAATAAAACAATATAACACACACCAAGGCTAATAAAAACAATATAGCACACACCAAGGCTAAAATTTCAAAAATTTCAGCCTCTGTCAGCTCGTTATGTCATCAACTATTTTTTGTATTCTGATAAAACACTTTAAAAAAACTGAATGATTGCTCACATATAGATGCAATATAGACATCATTGTTTGTAGGCTCGCCATGTTTGATTCATATTATTCACTTAAGAACAGTTGGTAAAGAATTTCATTATCTAATGTCATGTAATAATGTTAAAATATTAAAATGGTTCTTCTTAGAAAATCGCTTTTGGAGAACCTTTTTAGCATAAATAATTCTTTTAAAACTATCATGGGAAATAGCTTATTTCTATATATATTATCAATGAAAGATGAATCAATTATCAAAACATCTGCAAAATATTGTTTTGAAATGTTAAATCTGTACAAACATTTGTGCAATATGGTATGATATATTTATCATTACAACGATATGGTAGACTATACTAACGTTTGTACACTATGTTTACTTTGATTTAAAAGCAATTAGCTTTGTGATTAACCCTGAAAGAGGTGGATAAATACTGAAATGGKAATCCCATATAGCATTTATAAAAACTGCAACCAGCCTCGAGCATGCGCGGTTCGAGAAGATGTAATCATAACGTTTGCACGTGAAAGACAAGAATAAAATAGCAATAAAAACAAACCCGATCACTTATGATTTGTCGATAAGGCTATGGCAATTAGACAATGCTGGTTCCATAACTGCACTTAGAATGCACCTGCTTTTCGCGATTTTATGATAAATTTTACATTATATAAACTAAACATATAAAGATAAAATAGAGAACTTATTGACTCGCCAAAACATGAAAAAATGGATAGATTTTAGACAGATTCAATCCGCCTATTTGAACCCTTTAGGAAATAACTCTCTATTTTTATTTTAGTAGAGACATATACAAAACGTTTAGCTAGAGTGGGTTTGAACTAAATTTCTAWTCCAATACGGAAGCTCGCTGGACGTAGAAAAACCGACATTTAAATATTCTAAGCTCATGCAGAGTTGTATCATTTTGAAGACTGATAAAAATGTCTTAATCGTAAATGACTAAAAAAAAGCCCTAATATAACTTGCTATTTGGATATGAAACAAAATTTTGAAGACCGATAAAAATGTCTTATATCGTAATCGTAAATGACTAAAAAAATATCCCAATATAACTTGCTATTTGGATATGAAACAAAGTGAACTAAAATCAGTGAAAACATTCATTCAAAATAACATTTTCACTGCTAGAAAACAAAATAAAACAATAAGTTACTGAGCCACTCTCCTTAGAATGACTTTCAAAAACCCTTGAAACAAATGATAAAGTTTGTGATGCTGAAAATACACTAAGGAACGTGTAAAATAAAAAGTAAAAAAGTGTCATTTCGTTAATTGTATCTCACAAGGTCGTGAAAACCACCAAATGTTTCGCAGTTTTCGTCGTTTTCTCTTTAAGCTCACCTGTAAATTCAACGCTTGTAATAAAACGTCTCCTCTTGCTTCATGYAAACGCGTACCAAACAGGTCTCAGTCTACTGAAGCTTTAGCTTAAAAAGGAGTCATAAACTCATATCCTATTTCAGGATACGATTATAATGGATTATTATGGTTTAAGTAACTCCCTTTAGTCACACATGCGTGGGTAGAAGTTAGACGTGGGCTAAAAGYGYATTTTYAAGAGATGGAAGATGACCAAACGTGATCACAYTATCGATTAAAAGGACTAGTTTGGATATACCGCACACAACGGTTGCTCAATTCTAGATATATATCATTCGYTCATCCATCCATTYATTATTCATTTCACATACTACTTGAYTCTTTGTAAATACAACCACCCTTCATTCATCCATCCACTTCTCCAACCATCCGTTCATCTATTTGTTTATCTAAAAGTCCATTCATTTACGAAAACWTTCATCCATCCATACTCTACAATCTAGTTCTTTTCATAAATACTCGTAAACAACAATTCCACGTGTATTCTTACGAAAACAATTCCTCAATTCAATAATTTCGTTCTGCAGCTAGAAGCAGTGACCTGTTTGAGTCGAGCTTTAAGTACCCATATATGGTATCTAAAATTTGAACATAATGAGCTTAAGTCTTTCTTTAGATAGCATGGCCCTTTACTTAAATAGCATTACGCATTGTACTGTAACCTAGATTCGGTTAAATATCTTTTACTCATGCAGTCAAATATGGTAGTCTTTGTCCTGACGCTAGACAAAAAAGCACTGAGATTTTAACCCATGGTGCAGTAATGCTAGCGCTTTTTCATTCCTTATTCTGGTATAACTCTAAATGTAAAAGGTCGAACACTTCATCGATAACTTAAGTCTCGTTTTTCAGTAAATTGTTGCATCTTGGAATGCACTTGAAAMWGGCCACTGCGCCCGCAGTGGGCACCGATGTTTCTCATTCCAATTTGACCACCCGGCCATCAAAATCATAGCTTTGCAAGACTCTGGATTCCATGATTTTGTTATTGTCTTATCCATTTGCTATTGCTTTATGGTAGTAAATCTCATTGATTTTGCATCATCAAAATCCAATTTTCAAGTTCAAAATACATGTAGTAAAAAAAGAGAGCGGAAGAGATAACATTGTCATCTGGTGAACACATCCAAAGGTTAAATAACTTTTAACGTTTTTAATTTCTTTTACATGTTATTGTACTGATATATCAATTTTTTMAATTCTTTATATTTTAGTGAATGATCAAACCAGGTAGTTTCAACATAAAATGAAGGATCAGCTAKAAGAATTAATGTCGAAACTTGTTTTATGCTGCCAGTAAAGTACTTGTAATTGACCTGTAAAAAATTCTGGGCATTTTTCTTGCATGTTAACAAATTTGTTTTCAATCAGTTTAAGTAGATTAAGGTCGCTCATTGAAGCCGAGCAATTGAAATAAGTAAGTGGAATTAAAAGGAGGCACTTATTGATAAAGGCGAGGATACAATGTAACATATAATTTCAGCTGCTGTGAAATTCAACGTTTTGATAAACAAACACAGGCTCACTTTGAAAAGAAACTAGGAAAGAAAATCAGAAACATTAAAGGATGTCAAATCATTCAATTTCGTGATCTGGTTTTGTTTTTACAAGATGATACACKGAATGATTAGATCTTTGACATCACGGCACCATGCCAGTACAAAGAAAACACGGTGTACAGATGGCTTCTACTTTAACTGTTCTTATTGAATGTGCAAAAAGAACTGCTTAGGCTTTCAGTGACCTTGCGTTCGGAATTTCAAAATCTGAGCTCATAGCTTGACAATCGTATTACTAATAGTTAGAAAGTGTAAAACATCAACACAGTTACTCTAAAGGTGCTAAAGAGAAAGCATTGAAATTCCTTTWCTATTAAGCAAGCGACTATAATGGCGGTTTTGAGGTGTTTTAGTGAAGACTGCAWACTGTGAAATCATGAACACACAACTACACACGCGCTATGCATATCCCAAAATCATTCCAAAATATTCTTCTAAAGCAGCTCCAAATCAATTAATCTATAGCTACTCATTATGAGTATTTTGTAAATGAAATACCAGAATACTAATCTACAATCGTTTGATTTCATACTTACATGATTGTGAATGATCGGAACTGAAACAGCACCAGTTTACTGTTCAACCTTTTGAAGTATTTGTAGTCGTAACTAAGATTGCTATCAGTATATGAACCTTRTTTCACATGACGCCGCGGCCACGTACTTGATATMTGCAGATAACGAAAATTCCTCGCCGTATTGTAAGGAGTTCKCTYTRAAGTAGTCACTAAAAGCACTGTATGAGGCTGAAATGCAAGATAATTGATTATACATTGTGCATACCTCTAGCTGTGGCAACAATTTCATAGGATTCACTTACAAGGGGTGTGGTCTTGGTGAAAAATGGCCACATTGATATTGATTGTATCTAAGGTAATTAGAGATAAAGGAATCGTATTCAATTTGAAGAGGGCTGGAAAAAATTATCATCTAGACCTATTTGTTTACTGRTGGTTTGAAAACCAAATGCCACAACACTTGGGAAGTTTGAAGTGCTTTGTGCTAGGGTTAGACAAAACTTCGAGCAAAGAGCGYGGAAAATGTCGTTGATCGAATTCTCATGAACTACTGRAGTGATTTAGACTCACAGTAAATTACTCTGGACAAATGCACAACGCATTATAATCTTCTATAAGAACGAGACTATTACATAATGAAGAACTCTGTGTTGCACTAAACTGAACTCTAG